TTGCTGGTCCTATAAATGGAGAGAATCTTCCAGGAACAAAATTTTCAACCCTTGATTACATTAGACCAATTTAGAGATGCTCTAACCTCTGTATTTTCTCCAATAAAACTAGGTTCAAGCCAGATGTTGCAAAGAGAAATTGTAAGGATTAAAGATATATGGATCAGAACTTTGACACAATGTGTCATGCAAAAAAATAAAGATAAAAAGCACCTATGTTTGTTTTCAGTCCCATAAAACCGCCACCGTGAAAAGAGGTACTCGACAACACATCATGGGATGCATTTGTTCACTGAAACACTATTTTTAAGAGCCAAAATGGGTACAAATCACAAAAGCCTTTCAACAGATAAGCAAATGCTGCTATATAATTAAAAACTGAATACTCACAGAAAGAAAGAAGTATGTTATATGCCACAAAATAGGTAAAGTTTGAACATACGATGTTAAATAAAAGAAGTGAGACAAAAGGTCACAGACTGTATGATTCCATTCATGAAAAATCCAACATAAGATACTGTTGATTTGAATGTTTATATAGGCAGACATGTAATTAATAGTTACCAGAATATAAGAGTGGAGAGAATGTGGAACACCTAGTACAAGGATATGAGATTGTCTTTTGGGAGGACTAAAATGTTTCCAGGTTGGAGAGTTAGCCTATTGGCAGAGCACAGGCTTAGCATGTGTAAAGCCCTATTTGCAAGAGGCAGTATCGAAAGTAAACAAACAGATAACATGTGTTGGAAAGAGATGCAGTTGTTGATTCTACATACTATGAATTAATTAAATGTCACTGAGTAACACACTTTAGCACTGTTACTTTTGTATTATATGAATTTCAATGTCTTAAAATGTGCTCTCTCTGTTTACTCAGAACCCATCAGGATCTGACTTGGGGCCTCCTGGATGCTAGGCCAGTGTTCTAACACCGAACTGTACCTGAAGCCCTTAAAATATTTAAAATATGTGAAATATTTTGAAACAGCTGAGGTTCAACAATAGAATAATCTGATTTTTGTTGGAATCCAACATTCTGGTTGAGTTTTTTCTGGTTCAGTCAATATGGCTTAGAGTGAAGATAAATACTAAATCACTAAAAAGTACATTGCTAATGTTCAGCCTTCCTTTCTTTCTTTCTTTTTTACTTTCTTTCTTTCTTTCATGAAACACGGTCTCACTATACATTTCAGGCTTGTCTTGAACTCACTTTGTAGTTCAAGCTGGTCTCAAACTCAATGATCCTCCTGCTTCAGCCTCCAAATGCTGAGATTAAGGTATGTTCCACCAAGCCCAGCTATTCTTTCTTGTTATATGAACTTTGGATATAATTTTAAGTGTGTGACCCTTTATTTACCAGCTTCTCAGAGACTTCCTTTTCCCCTCTTTAAAAACTACTGGAGGATAAAAGCATCTCACTAATACAACACTGAATTCATATTTCTTCTTTCCTTACTTGTATAAGTAAAGTGGAACAAAAGGAATAATGCACACAAAAATAATGAATTTTAAAGGATGTGTTTGGGTGGTCATATTTCATGTGACTGCTTTTTTCCTCATCGTTGTTAATGGGCATTATGGCTATGTATGTGCAGATAGTAAACCAGTAAGCACACATACATACAAAGTAATCATTCCATTCACTTACCTTAAAGCTATTTCACTTACTTTATTTTATTATTTATTTTTAAATTTGGGACAGGATCTACAGGGTGTACAGAATCTCACTACATAGATCAGAATCACAGTGATTCTCCTCTTTTCAGCCTCCCAAATGCTGGGATTACAGGCGTGCACCACCACGCTCAGCAGTCTCAGCACACCCCTGGGGTAGAGCCAGCACAGCATGCCTGGGATCAAACCCCGGCTGCAGGTGCTTTCCTCTGCTGAGCGATCTGCCCAGCCTTATCTCACTTACTTTGAAACTGCTTCCAATCTTTTTCTTAGTATAAACTGTATATTGACATTCTTATATATTTGAGCTGGGGCAGTTATGCAGACATGTCTATTTTCTTCTAAGTTGTCCACCTGTGGACTGAGCTAAATGGCTATGATCCCCCAAAGACAATGCCATGTCCCACAAATTCCATCCTGATTGCCCAAGTGGAGTGGTCCCTATTCATATTTGCTAAAATATGCTTTCCTTTCCAATATGATTATTCAGAGTGGAAAATTTCTCTCTTTTTGGTATTACCATACATGTCATACTTCATGTAATACATCATACATGGTAGTAGATATGCATGATATAGTCATGTTACCTCAACTGTCTTGAAGTAAATGATTCACTTCTACACACCAACACACACATATGCATATGCATGCCCACACACATCTTGCATATCTAGTCCAGTAGTTTGAATATGATAGATAATGAATGAAATAAATAAATGAAGTTGTATAGGGCTGTGAAAGGCGATTTGGCCATTTTATTAAAATAAATTCTCACATGCATAGAGTTTTTAAATTTTTATTTAAGTATTTTTAAATGTATTTGGTACAAGTTCTCACTGGGCAGCTCAGACTCATAGTGATCCTCCAGTCTTAAGCCTCCCAGCACCAGAGTTACAGGCCAGCACCACATGCATGATTTCAGTGGCCAACTCAGTGCACTTGGGCTGGGGCTAGTGCAGCATGTGGTACAGGGATTGAACCCTGGTCCTTGTGCTTGCCTAAGCAGGTGCTTAGTCCACGGAGCTATCTTGCCCACCCAAGAGGTTTTTTAAAAGTATATTCTTATTTTTCTCAAAGTTAAATACAGATATGAAAATATGAAAATTGGTCTGTAGGGATTTTTTGTTAATTCTTCCTTCTTACACTTTTGCCATAGTTTCACAAGTCCAACATCAACCACTTTGTGCATCACATTTTTTCTTGACAGTCAAACCTAAATTGCCAAAATTTAGTATTCAAGTAAAAGACAAAAATGCAAATTCAGGCTTTTTATGGTTGAAAGATAGTTATTAATAGTTCTATCAGGGATAGGCTGATGTAATCAATAACTGAAAATTGTTCTCCTATTAAATTAACTCGAATGAAAAAGCACTTAGCATTAATAACATTCAGTTGTTTAGAAAGTGATCTTTTTTCTATTTTAACCTTTCTAACCCATAAATCTTTGAAAACTATATAAGCTTTAGATAAATGTATAAATAATTAAATGGGTGTTAAGTACTTCTGACCTCTTTCCAGTAACTTATGTGAGGAAAATAAACTGAATATTATGCAAAGTTTATAATTTGATTAAATATATTAACCTGATTGTTATTTATCTAAAAGTCGTACTTTAGGAAATTGTCTTCAATTTTGACTTTTGACAAACTAGAAAATTTTGAATTCACTGTAGACTCATGGATAGTTGTAAAATACAATAGCGAATGACGCCTTATACCCTGGCCCAATTAGCCATAATGGTTACATCTTGCCAAACTATAGTATAGAACGACAAACTGACAAACAGACATTTGTGTAGTTATGATAAAGAATATATCTGTCTCCACCAAAATCCCTTATATTGCTCCAGAATATAAAAAAAACTATTTCTATATTTCTTCTCATGACATAGAAATGACTTATCTGTTATTTAATTGTACAATATTCTCATTTCAAGGACATTATATACATGGAATTATATAGTCAATCAGATTTTGGGATTGACTTTTTAAACTTGACCTAACCTTGGAGATTCACTGAAGTCCTTGAATAAATGAGAGCTGCCAATTTATACTTCTACATTATATGCTATAGTTTGAGGGATTTTTGTATAATGTATGAAACTAAGGTTGACATGGTCGTTTTTTTTTTTTTAAATGTTTTTAGCACAGGGTTTACAGGGTCTCACTACATGGATCAGACTTATAGTGAACCTCCTGTTTTAAGCCTCCTCCGAGCTGGGATTACAGGCATGCACCACCACAGCCAGTCTCAGTCACCCTCTCAGTATGCACGGGGGGTGGGGCTGGCAATACTTTTATTTCTAAAAGTCAATATTTTTATTACTATAACAAATGATTTAGAAAATCTGTGAGTACATATGTCACAGAAAAGTTAAGAAAAAATATCTCGATTTGTTAGAAGAAAGGATCCCTTTCATTACAATCTTCTCATCATTTTTTATTGTAACTCAATTATCTAAGTAAAAATATAAACTCTTCTCAAAACACAGCAGATATATATTCCAAAAAAGAAAAAAATAGCAAATAATAGATCTTTTGAACTGTGAAATACAATGTATTCATAGGTTTTTGAAGCCTTATGTGAGCCTTCCTGCTTTAAGTCCATAAATTTTTATTGTGTGTCTTAAAACTCATAAAACTTTCTTGAATGATTTCCAACCATTTACTCACTGTGGAAACTAATCTGTTCAATTGCCTTTCCAACACGCACTTTACTTTTTAACGGGCACAAATTATATCTATGCACAAAATACTGAATAACCATACATATTGCTCTAATTGTACTCTAGAGCTAAAATGGAATAATAAAACACTAATTGCAATTAGATTGTTCTATTTGTTCAGATTCAATTTTACAGCCTGCCCCACTTGAAACATCGTCTACAACAACAAAGTTAACATTTAAATATCACCAGTCAATCCATTGACCATAATCTAAAAAAAAATGTTTTCATCAGTCCTTTCCAAACAAACATAATGCATCTCAGATTATAGCCAGTAGAAAAGGCTCTTTTATATACAAGGGTGACATTCAAATATAAGGAAACCTTAGCCTGAAAATTTCAAAAAGTCTTCATGTTTTCAAGTTTATTAAACTCTGACACAATCACAAGGGTAGCTGACAGATTCTTGCCAATTCTTATCACTCAGGTTAGGAAATAAGGACAGTTTTCATGATTTTCTTTACACAATGTGACCATGAATATCTCCCAGCAGTGACTGGATATATAAAGTTTTCTTTAGCTGAGCAGATACATAAATAAAATGATGTGTTATCACTTCAATGCATCACAATTTTTTTCTCAAAGAAGAATATTCTCTTACCTGTTTTACATCATATGCCAGAAGGACGTATTTTAGATCCGGTGATACTGAGTACCTTGATGCCTTGAAGGTTACCTTTAGAAATTAAAATGAAATAGATAAATAAAGAATTAGAAAAAAAATAGTGACTATCTTAATTGAATAACAGGAACATGTGTGTGTGTATTCGCATCACATTATAATTGGATGGTCTCATTCTTATTACAGATAGGCATAAGATTGAGTCTATTTATGATTATTAAAATGAATAGAAAAAATTGAAACAACTTTTTAAATAATTAAACAATGATTTAGAAAAAAATAGACAATCAATTTTAATCTATGTTACTGCTTTAAAGAACTTTAAGGCAGGGTACAGTGTAACCTTGGCTTTAATCCCCAGTATGACAAAAAACAACAATAATCTGAAGCATTCTCAAACGTACACAGATGATCTTTCATTGACTGCTGGGAAAGGTTAGTGCTGCTCTT